TTTTGGGTTCGACCAATTCAAATGGAGAAATCTCTATTCTGGGTCATCTTCACGGCTAGCTTTTTCACTTCGATTATTTTTAATCACTACCATTTTCTTAATTTTTGATGTAGAAATTGCGCTTATTTAACCCATAATTTTAATCATCTCCACTTCCGACATAATAATTTGAACAACAACAAGAACGGTATTTAATATTATTTTACTTATTGGCCTGTACCACGAATGAAATCAAGGTATACTAAATTGATCAAACTGGGGTTTTAGTTAATTATAACATTTGATTTGCATTCAAAAAGTATTGAAATATTCAATCTACCTTAAACAAAAGTGAATACGAAGCGATTTATTGCAATTAGTTTCGACCTAATCTTAGGTACTTAAATACCCTTATTCTAAATAAAACTATTATACCTATTAAATACCTATTAATTGAAGCCAAATAGAGGCTTATCACTGTTAATGATAGAACTGAGAATATCCTCCAATTAAGGAAGTATGAGGTTCAAGAAAAAGCCGCTAGCTTTTATCTTTTAATGGTTAAACTCCATTTATACTTCTGTTTATATAGTTTATAAAAAAACATTACATTTTCATTGTAAAAAAAAAATTAACTTATTTTTATAAATTACTAAAATAAATACACTATATCCAAGAATTAAACAATTACCCTAACATCTTCAGTGTTATACTCTATCTTAAGCTACTTGAATTAAAATATCATAAAAAAAAGAATTAAAAAAATAATTCATAAAACAAATAATAATAAGTAAATCTTTAAACTATTATTATGCATAACAAATATATAGCGAGAATACTTAACTAAATCACTATATAAATTTTGACCCCCTAAAAACTCTGATCAACCTTGATCAAAGGACTTACAGACTCTACCCCCTAAAACCAATGAGTGGCCAATAATTCCATAAGTAGAAATATAAAGCATAAACCACATTGAACCAAAAAAGTAACTTACCAAATAATTATGTAAAGACTTATTAAAATAAAATAAAGAAACACTTGAAATTAAATAACCCAATACTCCCCCTACAACACAAACAAATAAAGTTAATAACTTCAGAATATTGGGCAAACAGACCATATAGGGAGTAGGAAAAATTAATCAACTTAATATTCCTCCTCCAATAATTCTCATAACTAATAAACCTCTCATACCTCGCAACATAATCCAACCCTCATCACTAAGCATGTTTAAAGAACCACAATTTAACTCCCCAGTTATAGAGTAATACACCAACCGAAAAGAATAACAAAGCGTTAAGCCAGTAGAAAAAAAATATAAAAAAAAAGAAAATATATTAATATATCTTAAAGAAACAATTTCTAAAATTAAATCCTTAGAATAAAATCCATCTAAAAAAGGCATCCCACATAAAGCTAAATTAGCTACATTAAAACACCTAGAAGTCAAAGGTATATAAACACCCAATCTCCCTATTAAACGAATATCTTGAGAATTATTTATATTATGAATAATTGCTCCAGCACACATAAACAACAAAGCCTTAAACAACGCATGAGTCAACAAATAAAAAAAAGCAAGTTTATACAACCCTATAGATAAAAGTCTCATTATTAAGCCTAATTGTCTAAGAGTAGATAAAGCAATAATCTTCTTTAAGTCAAATTCAAAATTAGACCCTAACCCAGCCATAAATATAGTTAACCCAGATAATAATAAAAGCAAATCCCCGAACCATCTACCACTTAATAAAATATTAAATCGAATTAATAAATAAACCCCCGCAGTCGCTAACGTAGAAGAATGAACTAAAGCAGAAACAGGGGTAGGAGCAGCTATAGCAGCTGGCAATCAAGATGAAAAAGGAATCTGAGCTCTCTTAGTTATAGCGGCTAATATAATTAATCTTCCAATAATTTCTATCTCCACACTATGCTTTATAGTTTCTAAATAAAAAATATAATTTCATCTTCCATAATTTAATATCCAAGCAATTGCCAATAAAAAAGCCACATCCCCAATTCGATTAGATAAAGCTGTTAATATCCCAGCATTATACGATTTAACATTTTGAAAATAAATAACCAAACAATAAGAAACCAATCCCAACCCGTCTCACCCCAACAAAACTCTAATTAAATTAGGACTAACAATCAACAATATTATAGATAATACAAATATCAGTACTAATATAATAAAACGGTTAATATTTATATCCCCAGCCATATACTCCCTTCTATAATAAATTACTAACGAAGCAATTAATAAAACAAAAGATATAAACAGTAATCTCATTCAATCAAATAAACAGGTCATTACAATTCTAACAGAATTTAAACTAACAGCCTCTCACTCTAAAAATAAAGAATAATCATTTAACAAAAAAAAAGTCTAAAAAAAAAAAATTAATTCTAATTATAATTAAAACTAAAAATATAATTCTACAAATTGATAAATACTTCACGATCTAAAATGATTAACTCATATCATTGACAACACAAATCAATATTTTAAATAAACTCTTTTTTAAAATCAACAAGTTTAAAGGAAATCAATGAAGAAATAACAATAAGTTTTCACGAATCTTACCACCTCTAAATGAATAAACTCCTGAAAATCCCCTACCATGTTGGCTATAAGCAAATAAATATAAGCAGCTCTAAAAAAAGATAACAAAGATAAACAAATCATAGTAACTCAAGGTCAACTAATGATTCTATTTAATAAAGAAATTTCACACAATAAATTCAAAGAAAGAGGAGCAGCTATATTACAAGCACTTAACATCTAACAAAACACCACAAAGTCATTGAAGGTAAAATCAATAAACCCTTATTAATCATCATTACGACCCCTAACTTATGGCATTATCTACAAACAAAATAATCCTGACGAACAACTACGATAATTATCAAAGTATAAGAACCACAAAGTCCTCAGTAATAGTTATCAAACCACCTAAAACAATCCCCATATGATAAAGAATAAGCAATTAAAGTTTTAAATCAGTTTGATCAACAAACTAATCTATTAAACCTAACTAATTAATTTCATCATAAATAATTATACTTAATTCCTCTTATTTGTAAAAGAAAACTTAACAACCCATAGTCTAATTTTAACATAATTCCAGTTAAAATTATTGACCCAGAAACCGGGGTTTAAATACGCTTTAGAACCACAAATGAACTAAAACATTGGCATCTTAACTAAAAGCTAAAATTAAAGAATAAAGTTAAATCATAATTAAATATATAATTACTTAATAAATAAAAATCCATTGTATTTAAACTGTTATGTAAATAAAAATCCTAACTATCATAGGTAAAGAAACTATAGTATAAACAATAAATACACCCCCGCTCGAAGACGTTCATGATACCCTTATCCTAAAATTAAAATAGTGAATCATCTTCAAAATAAATAAAACATAAACAAGCTTCATTTTCAAAAAGTCAAAACTTGGAAAAATTAACAAATTAAAAGATAATAAAATAAATTTTTATAATCATCATACTTATAAACAGACCACTAGTTGTAAGTATAAGAGTACAACTAAAATCTTAACAAAATCATCCATAAGAAATCGATCAAACCCTAAAATAAGAAATATTCACAAAATAATTTGTACAATAATTTAAAACACAAAATATGTTACATTAAATAATAAATTTGAACCATTCAAATAAACCATTTATAAACAAATAGGACTAATAAAATTATTATAAAATTAATTTTAACATTGTAAACATTAAACGATTGAAAATAATCATTTACGTACGAATTATCTAAAGACCTTCACAACTCTAAAAGTTAAAATATTATACTAAAATCTTTCTATAATCTATCAAATTCAAATAGATAAACAAAGAAAATAATTAACACAATATATTCCAATCTCAAAAGCATTGATAATAAATGTTTTCGATTAGAACAAACAAAATGCCTATTAAAATAAAACACAGACCCTCATCATAATCTTATTAACATATTTTAATAGTTTAATAAACATTAATTTGTAAACCAAAATAAGATTTAATCTTTTAAAACTTCAAGAGAAAGAAATAACTTTATCATTAATCCCAAAATTAATATTTAATTAACCACTTTGTAATCATAATAATTTTATTATATTCTTCCACATTAATTTCAAGATTTATTTATTCAAATAAACCACCCATTAGCTATAGGATTAATACTTTTAATTCAAACACTACAAATTTGTTAATTTTATGGATAAAGAAAATATTTCATTTAGTAATGAAGTTACATAGATGAACTAATATTCCTCCTAGAAAATTAAAATAAATATAGGAGAATCAGAATCTTTTGCTATAGTCCTGTTAATAAACAAATTTGTAGTGTTTGAATAAAAGTATTAATCCTATAGCTAATGGGTGGTTTATTTGAGAAAATAAATCTTGAAATTAATGTGGAAGAATATAATAAGAATTGTATGATTTCAAGAGGTAGTTTAATTAAAATATTAATTTGGGATTAATGATAAAGTTATTTCTTTCTCTTAAGTTTTAAAAGATTAAATCTTATTTTGGTTTACAAGACAATGTTTTTATTAAACTATTAAAACTAATGTTAATAAGATTATATTGAGGGTTACCTTGTTTTTATTTTAATAGGCATTTTGTTTTGTTTCTAATCGAAAAAATTATCAATGCTTTGAGATTGGAATATATTGTGTTGATTATTTTTCTTTGTTTATCTATTTGAATTTGATAGATTATAGAAGATTTTAGTATAATATTTTAACTTTTAGAGTTTGAAGGTGCTTGCTTTCTTATTTTGGTTTCTATAATTGACACATGGAAATGATTATTTTCAATCGTTTAATGTTTTGCAATGTTAAAATTAATTTTATAATAATTTTATTAGTCCTATTTGTTTTATAAATGGTTTATTTTGAATGGTTCAAAATTTATTATTTATTGTAACTTTTATTTTATTGTTTTAAATTATTGTACAAATTATTTTGAATATTTCTTATTTTTAGGTTTGATGTGATTTTATGGATTGATTTTGTTAAGATTTTGATTTGTAATCTTATACTTACAGCTAGTGAGTCTTATAAGTATGACAGTTATAAAATTTATTTTATTTAATATTTTAATTTTGTTAATTTTTATTTTGACTTTTAGAAGAATGAGCTTGTTTATGTTTTATTTATTTTTGAAAGAAGATTGATTCCTACTTTATTTTAATTTTAGGATGAGGTATCAACCTGAACGTCTTCAAGGTGTATTTATTGTTTTATACTTTATTAGTTCTTTACCTATATTAGTTGGGATTTTTATTTGTATAACAGTTTAAATACAATGGATTTTATTTATTAAATTATATATTTAATTATGATTTACTTTATTCTTTAATTTTAGCTTTTAGTTAAGATGCCAATGTTTTTGTTCATTTGTTTACTAAAGCTCATGTTGAAGCCCCGGTTTGTCAATAATTAGCTGGAATTATGTTAAAATTATATGGGTTGTTACGAGTTTTCTTTTACAAGTAAGAGGAATTAAGTATAATTATTTATGAGTAAGAATTAGATTAGTTGGGGGGGTTTTAATTAGATTAGTTTGTTTACGTCAAACTGATTTAAAGGCTTTAATTGCTTATTCTTCTGTAGCTCATATGGGGATTGTTTTAGGTGGTTTGATAACTTTAACTTACTGAGGACTTTGTGGTTCTTATACTTTGATAATTGCCTATGATTGTGTTCGTCAGGATTATTTTGTTTGGCGAAATTACTTAAACAGTTAGAGTCGTAGCTATTGATTAATAGGTTTATTGAATTTTATACCTTCAATGACTTTGTGGTGGTTTTGTTAAGAGCTTGTAATATTATGCCACCTTCTTTGAATTTATTGGGAAATTTCTTTATTAAATAGATATTAGTTGGTCTTCAATTACTATAATTTCTTTATCTTTGTTGTCTTTTTTTAGAGCTGCGTATACTTTGTATTTGTATGCCTATAGTCAACATGGTAGGGGGTTTTCAGGTATTTATTCATTTAGAGGGGGAAAGATTCGTGAATATCTTTTATTATTCCTTCATTGATTTCCTTTAAATTTGTTGATTTAAAAAGATATTTGTTTATTTTTTTAAATTTAAATAGTTTATTTAAAATATTGATTTGTGGTGTCAATGATAAGAGTTAATCATTTTAGATCGTGAAGTATTTATCAATTTGTAGAATTAGATTTTTAATTTTATTATAGAATTAATTTTTATTAAGACTTTTTTAAACGATTATTCTGTATTTTGAATGAGAAGTTGTTAGTTTAAATTCTGTGAGAATTGTTATAACTTTTATCTGATTGAATGAATTGTTTATATCTTTGTTTTATTAATTGCTCTGTTGGTAATTTATTATAGAAAGGAATATATGAGAGGACAAAATATTAATCGATTTATTATATTAGTGCTTATGTTTGTATTATCAATAATGTTGTTAATTATTAGTCCCAATATAATTAGATTTTATTAGGATGAGATGGTTGGGATTAGTTTCTTATTGTTTGAATTTATTTTCAAAATGTTAAGTCATATAATGCCGGGATATTAACAGCACTATCTAATCGAATTGAGATGTAGCTTTTTATTAGCAATTGTTGAATATTAAATTATGGGAGATGAAATTATATTTTTATTTAGAAACTATAAAACATAGAATGGAGATAGAAATTATTGGGGTTAATTATATTAGCAGCTATAACTAAGAGAGCTCAAATTCTTTTCATCTTGATTGCCAGCTGCTATGGCTGTCTTACTCCAGTTTCTGCTTTAGTTCATTCTTCAACTTTAGTAACTGCTGGTGTTTATATTAATTGTTTTAATGTTTTATTAAGAGGTAGATGATTGGGAGATTTATTGTTATTATTATCTGGATTAACTATATTTATAGCTGGGTTAGAGCAATTTTGAATTTGATTTAAAGAAGATTGCATATATCTACTCTTAGACAGTTGGGAAAATAAGAATTTTATCTATAGGATTTTATAAACTTGCTTTTTCATTTATTAACTCATGCTTTATTTAAGGCTTTTTTATGTGTGCTGGGGCTATTATTCATAATATAAATAATTCACAGGATATTCGTTAATAGGAGGGCAAGTGTTTATATGCCTTTGACTTCAGGATGTTTTAATGTAGCTAATTTGGCTTTATGGATATTTTTAGCTGGTTTATTCTAAGGATATGATTTTAGAAATTGTTTTTTAAGAAATATTAATATATTTTCTTTTTATATTTTTCTAGTTAACAGTTTGTTATTCTTTCGGTTAGTATATTATTCTATAACTGGGAGCTGAATTGTGGTTCTTAAATATGCTTAGTGATGAGGGTTGAATCATGTTAGTGGCATAAGCGGGCTATTAATTATGAGAATTATTGGGGTAGAATGTTGAATTGATTAATTTTTCAACTCCTTATATAATTTGTTTACCTAGTTATTTGAAGTTATTGACTTTGTTTGTTTGTGTTATAGGAGGTATTTGGATATTTATAGATGTTCTTTATTTTATTTTAATAAGTCTTTACATAATTATTTGGTGTTATTTTTGGTTCGATGTGATTTATGCCTTATATTTCTACTTATGGGATTATTAATTATTCTTTGATTTTAGGGAAGAGTTTGTAAATCATTTGATCATGATCGGAATTTTAGGGTCAGAATTTAATAATATTAGTTAGTTATTCTCATGTATTTGTTATACATAATAATAGTTTAAGATTTATTTATTATTATTTGTTTGAATTATTATTTTATTTTTGATATTTTAATTCAAGTAGCTTAAAATAGAATAACACTGAAGATGTTAGGTAATTGTTTAATTCTTGGATATAGTGTTTTATTTTAGTAATTTATAAAATAAGTAATTTTGTTTTACAATGAAAATGTAATGTTTTTAAACTATATAAATAGAAGTATAAATGGAGTTTAACCATTAAAAGATAAAAGTTAGGCTTTTCTTGAACCTCACTCCTTAATTGGAGAATAATCTCAGTTCCATCATTAACAGTGATAAATCTGTTTGGCTTCAATTAATATTTAATTATTAGAGGTATATGTATATAGAATAGGTATTAAATACCAAGATTAGGTCGAACCTAATTGCAATAAATCGCTTCATATTCTTGGTTTAAGGTAGATTGAATATTTCAATACTTTTTGAATGCAAATCAACTGTTATAATTAACTACAACCCTAGTTTGATCAATTTAGTATACCTTGGTTTCATTCGTGATATAGGCCGATAATTAGAATAATGATAAATACAACTCTTGTTGTTGTTCATACGATTATATTTGAAGTGGAGATAATTAAAATTATGGGTAAAATAAGAGCAATTTCTACATCAAAAATTAAGAAAATGATAGTGATTAGAAAGAATCGAAGTGAAAAAGGTAATCGAGAGGATGATTTTGGGTCGAATCCACATTCAAATGGAGAACATTTTTCACGATCTGTAAGAGTTTTTTTTGATAAAATAGATGCTAATATTATTACTACTCTGCGATAATAATTAAAATTGATGTTATAATAGCAATTGAAAGATTATCTATATACTAATTAGTAGGTTTGATTGAAGTCAATACTTATATACTATATAGATAATTATAAATTAGCCTCCTCATCAGTAAATTGAGATATATAGGAATAGTCAAACAATATCAACAAAATGTCAGTATCATGCAGCTGCTTCGAATCCAAAATGGTGTAGCATGATTAGCAATACGTAACTGAACGAAGGCCACTGGATTTTTAAA